ATAGGCCTAGACTGCTGGAGGACATAGGGACCAACTTTTTATCATTCTGCTTATTCCTATCTATTCTCCCACTCTGCAGAATTTGTCATTTCAGGCTCTAACATTCTGCTCTCTTTGCTTTTTCTCATAGTAGCTTTGCCTCGTCTGTTCCTGTTTGGCTGTGACACCGTTCTGGAAGGAAATATCAGCTGTGCTGCTGCCATCAACACCTACAGTATGTTTATACTGTAGATGTTGAAGCTTGGCCTGTTTGTCAGTGTAGTCCTGTTTCTCTGACTGTGACTGAATGTGTGTGCTCTCTTTCATCCTCTGACATGGGAGCTGGCTCAGAGCTCCTCTGCCTGGCTGTGTGTTTCCTGGACCGGGCCGCCTTTTGTATCATTGCTTCTTTTTCTGTATCAGCCTATGTCTCCTTGAACCCCAGTTGGCCTCTGCAGATGGCCGTTCACACTGAGCCTAGTTCAATTGAAATTGAATTCAAATCACATATATTCAAAATATTGCATTCATAACTATAACTAATTTAAAGGCGAGGGATGAGGGTGAAACTTACTTTTCAAGTTTCATGTTTTGGGCATTGATAGTTTTATATTAAGAAATAAATGTTAAGTCTAGGATTTCTGCCAAAAGGCTTTGAGGTTTACCTAACAAAACAAAACAGGAAAAAAGGGAGCAAAGATGACTTTTTACACATATTAGTTATAGTAGCATCAAAGCACCTCCTTGAGGCAGCCATTTTGAAGCTTCTTCCACACAGCCTTAGTAGAGGGCAAATCTGCCCCCTGGAAGAATTCACTCCGATATAGCAAAAGATCCTCCATGAAACCATAACAGATAGGAAAATATCCATAACTGTGCCATAAATTGTAAATTTACGAGAATATAAATATCTAATTCATGACATAAGAAAGTTTCTTAATGATTTTAAACGTGTTTTTTTTTCTTTCAAATTTGTATTATTAGTATCAGAAAACATATTAGTATGAAACTGAACATTGAGTTTTTATTCTCACAAATTATCAACTTTTCAACATGAGATAATTTCCAAGCTTTTTTTTTTTCTCTGCATAAGGTGGTTTTTGAGTGGTGCTGCCCCTTCAGGATCATTTGGCCCTCACATCCACCTTCTGCTGTCACTATCAAAGAAGTCACACACACACACACATATATATATATATATATATATATATATATATATATATATATATATATATATATATATATGTATATATAATGTTAACTATTGTACAGTATCCCTTTTCCTGCAAATTTTCACTTCTATCAAAGACAGTGAAGTGTAAATCTGCCATTTGAGTGAACTGTTTTGTAATATGCTCTCATAAGGCTGTAATACTCTCCATCTTTTATAGTGGCATGCTAAAAATCAATCAGTCTGTGAACCCTGTCCTGATCTGATTCATGTTTCTTCTTCCTATCCTATTTTCGTTTTCTTTGTCCTGTTTGCTCTATGATCACCTGTAAACAGCACAGTAAGATATGTGTGGCTGTAGATGCCAAAGACCTTCATATCGAGCTAATGTAAAGCTGTTTTCCCTACAGTGGAACGAGAACAGAGGTGGCATAGGAAGCTGTTAATGTAGTTTTCAGCTAAACACAGTAGTGGAAGCCAGCTGTTTTGAACATTTAAATACATATATAATACCGTAAATATTATACAATGTAAATAAAGTATGAATAACTGAGAAAATATGGATGCAAGTACTGTAACAGAACTGATGCAGCAGAGTTGTTTTGAAATTATTCTTCTTTCTTTTCATTCAAGATCCATTGTGTGTGTATTGTTGTTTAATTGAGCTTTGAAGCTATTGTTTGAATGAAATAAATGGAATCAGATGATTATCAATATGGTTTTAATATGATAGGCTGATATGGTGATATGGTCATTTCTCAGCTGCCGCATTGCAGAGCTCTACATTAGAAACTGACATTTTTTCGGGAATCCCACGGGTTACGGGATTCCCGTGGGATGGGAGTCAGTATTAGTAACGATCACGTGATTGGGACGGTACAGGATTAAACATTAATGGGAGCAGACGGGAGCGGGAGCAAACCAATAGTAACTAAAAAAAACTAGGATCGATGCCAAAAAATAAAATAAAATAGAAAGAAAAAAAAAATCCAGTACTGCGCCGCCATTTTGTAGTTTTTTTCCTTGAAGCCTACACTATATTGCGAGTCAAAAAAAACTACACAGGATTTAGAATTTACTCTGGCTCGGGATCGGGACGGGACACAATTTTTTTCTGTGGGAGTGGGACGGGACAGGAGTGAAAATCCACTCCCGTGTCAGTCTCTACTCTACATACAACCATCTAAGGAAACACTAATTGCTAAGGACAATGTAGGGGAACCATTTACCCAACCAATTTTTTTTATTTTAATATTAAAGGAAGATGGAGTACCAGGAAAGGGCCCAAAAAATGCATAGGGAGACAATGTAAACTCCATACAAAAAGATAGCTGGCTTGGGTTTGAACCCAGGTATCTTTGCACAGGGTCCTGACGTCAAAACAGCCTGTTTTAATTATTGTCAAAAAAACAGACTGCTTTCAGCCTAATATCACTTTGAGGAGTAGTTTTGTCATTTAGATATTGTCCATTTAAACTTCTATCCTATTTGATCATCTATGTTAATATATGCAGCCCAGTCACTAGCAGTGATTGATCTTATGTGCACAATGTACAATGTGATAATGTACATATATGCATAAATCAGAAGATAAATGCCCTAATACAGCAGGGTTTTTAAGCAACTATAGCTGGTTTTAGTAAAAAAAATTGAAAATCTGGATGTTGTGACTGTTCAGTTTACAGCTTTCAAGTTTCGCTGGTGGTTCTGGCAAAAATAGCAGCACCATGTGCAGGTGAGGCAGCCTAATTAAAAAACTACTAAGAAAAACAATCACAGTCCCTCTCTTCAATACCTCAGGTTTTTTCTAGGCATGTCCTACGTTATTAGGTGACGTAAATGCAAAGAGTTAACATGTTAAATTAATTAACACCAGGTTATTAAAAAATACAAACTTCAAAGAGAAATAAAGTACTTTTCTTTTAAACAACAGGAGGATATGCCCCATTTCTCTGAAATATGATATGTATTTAGTCTTATCAGTATATCATTATAAGTGATTAGGTTAGCTTGGCTTGAGAACAAGACAAAAAGGAAGACAAATTAAGTAGAAGAAGTGCATTTTTAACATTTGGTACCTCATTATAATAAATGCAGATGTGTGTGTGGGGTCTTATCACAGTACCTGTGGTGAACATGGTATCCTGCTGCATTGATAGTCCAGCCCACCTCCTCAGGGTCTGGAATCTTGGCTGTCATGGCGATCAGATGTTGAACATCTCTCCATGTCAACAATGGACTGATGCAAGAGAGAGAAAAACAGGAAGAAAAAAAACATGTCACCTAAACAAACCCATCCATCGATTCATTGAGGAAACATTTAAACTTTGTCAGACAGCGTGATGGGAATCAAACAAAGAGGTGCATGTGTTTCTGTAGGCTTAGATTACAATAACCAAGCTCCCATGTAGAGCTTTTACTGGATCGCTGCAAAGATTTATTGATGCATAAGCTGCTGCAAAGAGACACTATACCCTTAAAAGCAGGTGCTCTATACATAAAAGGGCCTCTTTAGGTCAGGGCTACATTACTGATAATGGTGTCACTAAAAACTGTGAATCCAACAAAGAATATCTGATTCTTTACAAAAGAGTCAGAAGAGCCAAATGCAGCAAAAGTCCTCTTTTTAATCCCAAGCAGGGGAATTCTAATAGAGCCGACTCAAGTGTCATGTCAAGCAATATACTAATGGAATCCAATTAAGACCTTTAAACTGCGCAGAGAGCTGGAGGATATTAGCTCAGTTTTCTATAACAAAAGACCAAAGGGTCGTCAACCGGGGTTTTTTTTTCCTTCCATCCTATGAAAAGTATAAAGGAAATTAGTTTTTTTTTCCAGCTTTATCCACTCTTTATTGTTCTCTAAGAAAATGATTTGAATGAAAACTCTTCAGCTGCCTGATCATTTTTATTTCTGAGGAGAAATGCCACTGATCTCAGCTTCAACATCTGCCCACAGACAGACACACTCTGGGGGCACAGCTGGAGAGAAGGACGGCTCTGAAAGCAAAGCAACACTTTTAGCCCTAATTTCTACCATCAATGTCAAAGCTAGCAAAGGTTAGGAAAAATTGGGACTTTAAACACGACAGAGATACCAAGGAAATTATTTAATCCAATTCTGAATACTATGGAGGTCAAAAATGACGATTAAGTTAGCATAAAACAACTCACCCTTTTCGATCTCAACATGGGACATGCTTTCTTAACAGAATCACAAATGCTTAAAATTTCAATTAATATACAAATGAATGCAAAATAAATTACCCAAATGTAGCGGTTTGACAATCTTATAAGGTTGTCTGAGTAATTACTTTTTTAATGTGCATATAGTCCAGAAATCAAAAATGAACTGCGGCAAAAAGATGCTGGTCTTTCATATCGATATTAGACATGTACTGATACGTCGGTCAACCGATATATCTGTTCAATATTTTTTTTTCTTGTATTAGCTTTGAGCATTACATAAATCTATTTTCTGATTCATTCACTTATTCAGCAGCCATGCGATGAGATCAGGTGAAGCAGCTGCATTGCCACTCTTCTACTATCAGTTGTTAATGCTTTGTTTGTCTATTCACTTTTTTTTGTTTTAACTAAGACCTATTTTACATTTGTTAACATTATTTCTTTTTATCATGTAAATGGAGGAAGAAAAAGCATTAATCCCCCCCCACAAAAATTGGAAGTTTATATATCGAACAGATAATGAGAGAATAATCGGCATCAGCTTTAAAAAAATTCATCTGTCATTCATTTATTGGTGGATCTTTAACTTAAGCTGTTGTATATAGAAACAGTGTTTGAGTATTGTTAGCCCTAATGCAGTGGCTTTTATATATTATGAAGTATTTGACATTTTGCCACAATTTACTTTTTTTGCATAAATTTTGATATGCATGATCAGGTAAAGGTAGTGCATAGCTGCGTGGTGTGGAAAAGATGCATCATTTGAAAAGAATTAAAAAACTGTTTGGAACCGTAGAAAGTGAAAGGTGAAAGTGTATTCAGCAAGCTTCAGTCAATAATTAATTATTTATACTTTTGCTCCAATTACAGGTGCAGCTCTTTTGGAGGTTATTACCATCCAGGGACTTTGACCTTATTTGGTACATTTGAATGAAAATCTCTGCTTGCATACAAATTCCAGTTTTGGCATAAATTTCAATTTCTTGTGGTTCTTGTCTTTGACTGACTCACAAATGTGCTTTGATCTAAACCAGGTGTTCCCAAAACTTTCAGCCCACGTCCCCCAAGGTGATGGTGCAAGGGGCTTGCGACTCCCCCACTTAAATGACTATAGACATTGCGGGCAACCGCGCACACACTATAGGCATATCCAAACATGAGCATATTGACAAAAAAAATAAACAACATCCATAACATTATTCTACAGTAATTTACTCATTACTTTAATCTGAACTTAACCTCTCCTAATAGGATGGACATGCGATATGTTTGGAGCACAGCAAGTCCAATCTCGGTTTAATGTCGGAGACCGCTACTCAGAGATCATCCTCCACATTCAGTCACCATTTGTATTTATTCTTAAGGTACATCAGTGCAGAGAAAGTATTTTCGCAAAAGTAGGTACTGCCAAACGGCATCAGCACATCAAAAGCCACCCTGTATAGCCGTGGTTATTCCAGCTCAACTGAAATCCAAAACTCAGCCAGCGTCTTAGAAGTAAACGCTGTCTTTAAGGATCGGTCGCTATTTCTAATCGTTTTAAAATTTTAATTTTATTTCTGGAAATCAACTTGCGATCCCCCCCCACTCTGGCTTCTCCTACCCCAAATTCGGGAATCACTGATCTAAACCATTGCCTTGCAGTTTAGCTCTGGCTGTTTGCTTCGGGTCGATCTCCAACCTCCACCTGAGTATCGAGCCTTCTGCAACCTCTGAAAGGTTTTCTTCCAGGCTTTATCAGTATTTAACTCCAAAAATCTTTCTAGCTTCTATTTCCTTGTGAGATATGAAAAAACATATTTCACACAGCACGACTGCTAACACCATGTTTCTAACAGGAAATCATAAAAATAAAAAACAACACAAATCCCAATCATTTCTCCGTTTTAATATTAACACTGCATCTGTATACATCTTCCACTGTAGGTAGGTCTTCATAGTTTCACTGGTGAAACTTTCTAATAAGGTGGGAAGGAAAGACCTTGTCAAAGAACAAGATAACAAGTACCCTCTTCATTATTCTGCTCTTGGGTGTTCAGAAAGCACCAGGCACAGATATAAACCGATGGATTCCATTCACGTATTTGAAAAACTAAGCAGAACCAAAGTGAGGAAAGAAGCTTTCATCAAGAGCATAAAACAAAACCACAGCAAGAGGCAACTAAAACAACATGATAGGAATAATACCAGTAACACTAATAATAGATGGATGGAATGAAACAAAACACAAAGCACAAACAATTATTTTAAGCCTTAATTTCAAAGGGATTGGAGAATGTGCGTGTTTATGAGTGGAGTGAGCTTGGTGCTGTTGAACTGTTGCTGCTCCCTGCACGCGGCGGCGTGTGAGCGTGCGTGTTGGATATTAGTGGCAGCAGCGTGATTCTGCTGTGTGCACTCCCCCACCTCTATCATAAGCACCACCACCACCATCACCCCTCTGGTGGAATCAGAGAAAGCCCCGCGGCCCCGGCTGGTTTGCATAAAGCAAACAAAATTAAATTTGCTTTGCTAAATCAAAGCATGTATGGTATTCCAAGCTGCTCTCTCTGGGACAAATTACTTCAAACGGCCTCCTTTGTATCATAACAGAATTAGAAAAAAATAAAAAATCAGCCCAATCAGTGGCACTCCAAAACCCTCGACTCAGGAATTAATTATTGAACCGAGGGCTTTTCTCTCTCCTGGCAGTCTGTGACACAGATCTATTTATTTTGGAGAAGTCGTTTTACTCTTAAAAGCACACTGTTGGCTGAGAACATAGCTATCTCCTTCTCTTTTAGAGTTCTCTCTCCTCTTTGCAGCACAACCCCTGAAGGGAATGTGAATAGGTTTAGACTGCAAAATTAGTCTGAAAACTTCACAACCATTGCATACCATGGTGCTGGTTAAACACAGGAATTACTTCTGCTGTAATGGACTCTAGATGAACTGAACCTTTAGCTGAGTTTCTGCTTCTTTTTACAAAAGGTCCCGTTCTATAAAACAACTGCACTGAGACTAAAGGATTTCAGCCTTTAATTATTAAGAACAACACTTTGATTACTTGTGACTTTCTATATGAATATGAATAAATTTATAATAAGCCATTGATTATTAGAAATGTTTCAACAAGTATAATTTAAAATAACAATACAGTAAAAATGACCTTCCTACACATAGATTTCTTCTGAATTTGCTATTTTTTGTCACAGTTAAATATTCCAGAAGAAATTACCGTAAGTGCAGTAATATAAAATCATCATCTAATAGACACCCTAGGCCAGGGGTAACCAATTAAAAATCAACGGAGTCCGAATAAAGAAAATCTTCAACCAGTAAAGGTCTGGAGACCATTTTAATTATAATCTGTTACTTTAAACACTAAAATAAAATTTGGTTTTTATGCATTCATGTTATACATAAATAAAAATATATGAAAAGAAAGAAGAGAACATTTTTTTCATTATAAAATCTAAACTTATAAAACACCTAAACTGACGTTTGTTTTTTTCTTTTTTCTTTTTTATGGGTTAATGAGAGCAGTGGGCTTCAGGCTGACCTGCAAGGTTTTAAACATTGGTTTTTGAGCCATTCTAAAGCACATATCAAGGTAACACTACGACAATACTAAAAACCTCTCTCACCACTGGCATCCAAGTCAAACTAAGCAAAACAATCTCCAAGTCAATTATCTGGCCCCGATAGCTGGGACTGAGATGTATTTAAAGCATCAGGAGCAGGTGGGTGAGATGAATGGTAATTGGAAACCAGGCATAGTAAGGCAGGTGAATGAAATTAACAATAGGTCAGCAATTAGAGTCATGATCATGATATTCTGATCATATCTTAATTTGCATTAATATTGTGAACAATTTTTATTTTTCTATTCCAACAGAATAAAAGTAAGAGTCTTGATTAAAAAAGAAAAAGTATTCAGCAAAGTACAGATCTTCAAAATACTCAAGTAAATGTAATAAGTTTCTTTACCCTTCTGTTTGTTGGTAATGGCTTTCCTGGTTGATTATTTCCCAAACCATTAGAAATTAATTTATAATAACCATTTTCAAGG